AAAAGAAAGAAAGAAAGAAAGAAAGAAAGAAAGAAAGAAAGAAAGGAAGGAAGGAAGGAAGGAAGGAAGGAAGGAAGGAAGGAAGGAAGGAAGGAGGAAGGAAGAGAAAGAAAGAAAGAAAGAAAGAAAGAAAGAAAGAAAGAAAGAAAGAAAGAAAGAAAGAAAGAAAGAAAGAATTCTGCATTACAAAAGGGCAAAATCAAACAGTATTCCCAGATGTAGCAAAGTGGCTGTTGCGGAGCTACATAAAACAAAACACAGAACAGAGGAAGGTGAGTGTTATATTTCCTCAGAATGCTTCTAGTTAGGGGATTGAGAAAAATATTGTTGCCCCATTCTGCTGATAGGGCCCGGGAGGGTTGCGTCTCCCCTTTCTTGTGGGATACTCACTTTCAGCCGACCCCATCACAAAAGAGATCCTTCCTGGCGATTCCTGAGGGGGCTCCTTGGACACGGGGTCTCCAGCCGCCTCAGTGTCCGCTCCAGCAGCTGTCTCGTCCTCTTTCAGCCACCGAGAAAACGAAGAGAGAGGGAATGTTGGGGAAAAAAAACACCTTATTGCTTTAGCTATTTCCAGGATATAAATGGGTGGTTCTCATTTCCCAAAACAATTTTTCAAAGTTATTAAACAAGTTTCTCTTGTTTAAAAGAGAAAAAAAATAAACAAAAGCCCATCCATCTAGGATTAAAGCAAACCAACAAAACACCTGAAGCTCAACCAGAGCACAACAAAAGAATGTTTATGTTTATGTTTACGTTTATGTTACGTTACATTATGGTGGTATGTTAGGTTATGGTTATGTTATTATGTTTTACGTTATGGTATGTTTTAGGTTAGGTTAGGTTAGGTTTGTAAGAAATAAGGAAATTCAAAACTAAAATGGTATATAAGATGCTTAAATGTTTCACAAATGAGGGTTGGACTGGATAACCTGCAGGATCCCTTCCCATTCTGTTAATCTGTTATCAAATGAAATATATCTCCCTATATCTACGGGCTTTGCTTTTATACTTTTGACGTGCTCCATTGTTAAGCTTTTTAATATTTTTAACTTACGTATAATATGCCTTTTATATTATTATTATGGCTTTTTTTGGGAGGGAGGGTTGTTATAATCTCTTTGGAAAAATGGTAGTATAAGATGAAACTATAAAATGGTATCTTCAGAAGTTAGAAAGAGGCCCTGAGGAGGGGATGCTATAAAGCTAAGGAAAGATGCCATGTGGGCAGCCAAAGTATGATGTATGGAGCGGTACGGATGAGAACATAAACGAAAGGAGGCAATTTTCCTTGGAGACATCCTGGGATTAGCTGCCACACCTGAGGGCAAATCCAATGAGCTTGAATTTGGGAGGGAATGAGTCTCAAAAAGGAGGGAACTTGGGTGACGAGATGAAACTGTATATAAAGTATGTTTTGGAATTTAAAGGTGTGGCTTTTGATTCGAACCTGCTTGTTGAGGTTCTGAAAGGTCACCGATGCTTTGCAAGCCGTCTATTTATTTATTTTTTTAAAAAAATTATCTTTGTTTTCAACGATCCAAGTTTCTTTCATTGGTTTTGAGTTATTTCCAACAGGTTAGGTTAGGAGCCCCGGCGGTCCAACGGTTAGAATGCAGTACTGCAAACTAACTCTGCCCACAACCAGGAGTTGGATCTTGACCAACTCAAGGTGGACTCAAGTCTACCAGGTCAATACCGAGATCAATAAAATGAGGACCCAGATGGTTTGGAGCAATATGCCGACTCTGCAAACTGTTTAGAGAAGGCTGTAGCGTTATTGCTATTGTTATTTATTTATTTATTTTGTCCTTTAATGACCCCGTAGCCCTGCGCATCGGGGTGGAGTCAGGGAGATTGAATGGAGCTGAGTGTTTATTGGCCGGATGCCTTTCTTGTTGCCAATGCGGAGTTACAGATATTTTCTCACTGTGCCCAGAGAGAGAAATATCTGCGGCTACCTAGGATCAAACTCACAGCCTCCTGATAGTGAGGCGAGAGCTCCACCTCTAGACCACTGCACCCCTCCTGTTATTCCTATTGCTATGTTCTGCAAAATTCTCCATTACCCAGGGTAATACTCCTCCCCCACCCCACAAAAATTGATGAGAAATCTTTTGGCTATAGCAGGCAGCCTAACATCTCGACTTTTCTGCTTTTTCCCTACTCTCTCCTGAGACTCCCTGCATTTCATTTTAAGAGACGACCTCAAGTACTAAGAGTCTGAGATCAGGACCCGACGCTTCCCGCATGCCATAATTCCCACACCCATCAACGGCACAATATAAATCCTAAACAAAGCTTTCTACGTTCAATACCTGCTGATTCCTTTGGCCACATCTCGGTCGGTTGGTTCTCTTCTTCTTCTTCTTCCTTTCCCTCCTTCTGATTCCACAGATTGTCTTCCGCTTCTTTCCCGGGACCTTCACTGGGCACCATCCTAACTGGTCTATTCTTGGCATCATTCTCCCAGGTGTCACCTGTTGGAATCAAGCCCATGAGAAAAGTTAGGGAGAAGCTGGACTTCAAGACAAGATCCTTTTCCCTTATAGATATGGCTGTCAAGCCCTGTTAGGTTCGGGACGCAAGGTCCACTTGGATTTCTGCGAATAACTTTTATTGTTAGATCTTTGTTGTAACGCTGGGCTGGGGGATGGTGGCCCCTTTATGGCTTGTGGACTTCATCTTCCATGCTGGCTCAGGAATTCTGGGAATTGAAGTCCACGGGTCATAAAGGGGCCATCGTTTCACACGCTGGCTCAGGAATTCTGGGAATTGAGAATGGGAATGCTTTCAAGGGGGAGATTTTTCCTCATCCGCCCTACAGCCCCGATCTTGCACCAAGCGAAAGCATTCAGGGCTTCTCGAGTGCCGTATAGTTCGGCCATTTTTAAACTTAATGCACCATTGGCGCACTCCTCCTTCAGTGATGATGTTGTCCCCGTACACTTCACACAGTTGCCGAAAAATTTCAATTGGTTTATGTTTTTTTTGCCAACAGAAACCTTATCACTCTGATCGCACCTCACAACTCGCGGGATTTTCAATTGCAGCAACACATTTCAAACGTTTGCTGAGAAATAACGGGCAACGATACGAACCTCCCCCTAGCACGACCAGATGCAGACTGAGCGGCGGACGCACAGGCCCAAGATGGCCGCGCTAGCTCCGCCCCTTCTTGCTACAGACGAAAACGTAATCTATTTTGTGGATAGCCCTCGTATATTTATGATATGCCTGTGATATTTATCATAGGTCGCCCTGTGGCTTTCTCGTTCTTTCTGTTTGGCTTCGCATATAGAAACCTCATCCTTTATAACGATAAGAGAAAGCTTCGCTCCCACCAGAGGATGGAACGGGTTCTTACCCAAAGAGACCACGGTCCCGTAGTTTTCCACCATGACGTCCCGATAGAGAGCCCTCTGTTCCGGATCCAGCATCCCCCATTCGCCTTTGCTGAAACGCACGGCCACTTCCTCAAAAGTCACCGGTCCCTGAGGTGGAAGAGAAAGAATATTTCTTAGAGCCGCAGGATTCGAACAGCACATCCCTCCCATTAACCCAGGCCAGCTTTCCCCAAACCGCTCTCCTCCAGATAGGGAGGCATTACAAGGTATAAGTTGGCTATGAACAATAGGAGGACTAGGCCAGCCCAGGTCAAGCCACAAGGTTGGAAAAAGTGGTTTAAATATAGATAATCCTCGACTTGTGACCACGGTCGAGATTGGAATTTTTCTTGCGGTCATAAAGCGAGAAGGCATGTGACCTCACTTAGTGACAGCAATCCCAGCACTCCACCTTGTCATGGTTACGTGAAGTGCGCTGGTTATTATTTGGGGACTTGCCCCAATCCATTCCCCAAATTATCCTGTGGTAAGATGTTGTGGTTAGCCGGCAGCAGGTGTGGATGGCTGAGGAGAGCGAGGACTCAGATGAGGGGCCGGGACCATTAGGGAGTGGGTTGTTGCCTTCAGAGATTGTGAGGGCTGGCAGCAGTGAGGAGGAGGTTCCCGAGGAGCCTGTGCCAAGTGTGCGTGCGCGCAGGGTTGCTCGCAGGAAAGAGCAGCTGCAACAGCACGGGCGACTCGGGAGTAAGGCTGCAAGGTAATGGCCCCTCCTTCAAGAAGATAAAAGCCAGCCGTGAAGCGAACGTTCTTTGCGGGAAGCAACGACACTTTGAAACTCAGCCTCGTGGACATTACAGTATCTTAAGTTGGACTTTTGTGTTGTGAAATATTTCTTATCTGTGATTCTTGGCAGTCTCGTACAGTTTTGGCAAGGTTTGTGCTTATCCAAGTTAATTAATTTGCAGCAGCCTTTTTAACTGAGGATTCGTCAGACTCATTAAAAGGTTTCTGTTCCCTTTGATTATTTATCTTATTGGAAAAGGGTTTGGGTTGGAACATAAGATGTCCATACACTCCAGGGACCCACCTGATCTCATCTGTTTTAGAAATGCCAATTTAAACCCAGACTTACGAGATCCGGCCACACTGAGGATCCTTCTCGGTAATCACCAGCTCCCTCCCACCTTCCCCCTGTAACAGCAGACCCCTCCTTGAAAATGCCAGGAGGTCCCAGGCTCACCTGATCTTCTTCTGCTTCCCCCAGGAAGAGACCTTCTAGCAGCTTCTGCCTTTGCCATCCCTGGATTTGCACCTGATCCTGGGATAAGTCCAAGTGGGTGGCATTCTCCTCATTCAAGATGGCCACTCCCTCGCTTTCCCTGCTCTTCCCAGCCTGGGATGCGAGAGAGACCCGGGGAGCCATTTGGGGGCCTACCACATCCAGTTCACACATGTTCTCTTCCTTCTTCAGCCTGTCCCTCAACCCTGGGCTCGCAGGCAAAGGGTCTCCTTGCTTGGTCCTCATCTTCAGGACCAACACAGTTGGAATTTGGAGAGGTGAGAAGCCTAAAGGCTCAAGGTCTTGACACGGATTATTGCTTGGTAACACCAGCTGGAGGACACGGTCACCAAAGAAGCAAGGCTGGTTGGTTTCCAGCTAACCAGGAGCTCTTTCCTTGCCTGAAAGAGAGAAGAAAAAAAACCATAATAGCTTAACACAGAAAAGCTAATCTTGGACAGTTGGTTCTCGACATAGAACAGTTCACTTAACGACCGTTCAAAGTTGCAGCGGCCCTGAAAGAAGAGAGTCGTGACCATTTTTAACACGGATGACCGTTATAGCATCCCCACAGCCACGTGATCAAAATTCAGAAAGTTGATTTTGTATTTGGCTTTAGCTGATTACTCGCAAGAATGATAATTGGCGTAACTTTACCCAAAAGGTTTAATTCCTAGTCACTGAAGTCACTGCCTTAAATGACTAAGAATTAAAATGCAGGCAAGGGAGCGAATGAATAGATGTTCTCCCTATCTCTTCTTTCGAGTCCAGGGGTGTCAAACTCAATGCCAGCAGTGGGATCCTACCTGTTCCACCACCAGTTTGGTGATCGTGCGTGTACCTAATGTGCGTGCACCTAACGTGCACGCACAGCTTTCCCTACAACCAGCTGAGGCCTGCAGCACCAATCAACTGAGAGAATAAAACAGAGAAAAGCACAGGAACAGGTGTGAGGGCCGATCCTGCGCTTTTCTCTCCTTTTTCCTCTCAGGATTTTTTTCTTCCTCTCCCCTGATCCTCGGAGGCTTTGTTTACTACCGGTTCGGCCAAACCGGCTCGAACCGGTAGCATACCACCACTGCCGCAGGCTGCCTGCGGCTGGCAGGGTACTTAAAACTGGCCTGCGGGGCCCGGCCTGGAAATAGCAAAGGATTGTTCCATGGTGCCACAGCTAGCAAAAATGAGGCATTGGGGAGGGGCACCACCCACACACTCCATTCTGGCCAGCAAAGGAGGCCGTCCAGGCCAATTATGGAGTGCCGGGGGGGGGGGGGGCTGCTCCATTTGGGCCAGCAGAGTGCTACAGGAGGCATCTGTCGTCCCCCCACACACACACTCTTGGCCGGTCCATGAAGAAGAACTACAATGCTGATCCGGCCGTCGAAGGAATCCAGTCTGACACCCCTTTTCTTAGTCCATCAGAATAAAAACACCAATTGGGAGATCCGTTGTTCAGGTCTCTACCAATCCCTTGCAGGCTCACAAATTGAGGATACTGTGTATACACTATACGGTACTCCACGACTTACAACCGTTTGTTTAGTGATTGCTCAAAGTCACAACAGCACTGAAAAAAAAGTGACTTAGGGCCATTTTCCATATTTACGACCGGTGCAGCACGTAATCAACATTGGGATGCTTGGCAATTGGTTTATATTTACGACGGTGGCGGGGTCCGCGATCCCCTTTTGCGTCCTTCTGCCAAGCAAAGTGAACGGGTGGGAGAGCCAGATTCCCTTTAAACCACTGAAGTGATTTCTGGCAAGAAAGATCCTAAAATGGGGGCAAAGCTCACTTAACCGCCGTCCCGCTTAACGAACATCAATTTTGGGGCTCAACTCCGGTCGCATGTTGAGGACTACCTGCATGACTAGAGTAGGCTCCTTAACAGACTGCACCGAATAAATAAATCAATTGCAATTGATGCAGAAAAGGCACCAATACCAAAAAACAAAAAATTGAGAAGTTCTCTTTGCAAGGACTTGCATTTTTGTGGGGTTGTATGGGTGTGTGTGTTTAAGAGAAAAAAATCAGTGCACCACATATAAGCTATGCCCGTGATGGCGAACCTATGGCATGCATGCCGGAAGTGACATGCAGAGCCACTTCTGCGGCATGTGAGAGGTCTCCCAGAAGAGCCCCACTGCGCATGCTTGCAGCCGCCCGACAGCTGATTGTCGGGTATCTGGCGCGCATGCCCGTGGGGCCCAGCACACATGGCCTTCTGAGTGCTGGCCTGCAAGAAGACCTACACAATTTTCAGCACGGGAGCCGAAAAAGGTTAGCCACCACTGAGCTAGGTGGATATGACCTCACTGATCACCCTCACTCTGTCAAGGACCTCGGAGTACTCATAATCAAACGACCGAAGCGCCAGAGTTCACTGTAACAGCATTGCCAAAAAGGCATTAAGAATTGTAAATCTAATCTTACAGAGCTTCTCCTCTGGAAATATCGAATTGCTAACTGGGGCATACAAAACCTTTGCTAGACCAATACTCGAATACAGCTCATCTGTCTGGAATCTGCATTGTATATCGGACATTAATACAATTGAATGAGTTCAGAAGTATTTCACACGAAGAGTACTACACTCCTCTGCTCGCAACAGAATACCCTACATCACCAGACTTGAAATTTTGGGCTTGGACAACCTAGACCTACCCCGCCTACGGTTGGACTTAAGCGTAGTACACAAAATTATCTGCTACCACGTCCTACCAGTCAATGACTACTTCAGCTTCAATTGCAACAATACAAGGACACACAACAGATAACAAACTCAATGTTAACCACTCCAAACTTGATTGCAGAAAGTACGACTTCAGCAACAGAGTGGTCAGTGCCTGGAATGCACTACCTGACTCTGTTGTTACATCCTCAAACCCCCACTCCTTTAACCTTAAACCAGGGGTCCCCAACCACCGGGCCCTGGACCGGTACCGGTCCGTGGAACATTTTCTATCGGGCCGCCGGTTTGCTAGGCGCCGCCATCTTGTTTCGATGAGAAAGTGCTTCTGGGTGAGCTTTTCCGGTTGGAAAGCGGCGTTTAGGTGCTGAAAGAATCCTCGCGCCTTAGTTTCATCGAAGAGTGGGGGCGGCTTCGAACGAAACTAAGGCACGAGGATTCTTTCAGCACTCAAGGCAAGGCGAGCCGAGCGACCATCCAGAAGCCGTCCCGAAGCGAAGCCCATCGACAAAGGTACAAAGGAGGAGTTGAAGGTGGCGGGGAGAAGCGGGGAACGGCTGGCTGGCCGGTCACTCGGCTCGCCTTGCCTTGTCATGCGTGCTGATGCCGGTACCGGGCCGCGGATCATTTTGTGATGCCGGTACCAGGCCCTGGCACAAAAAAGGTTGGGGGCCACTGCCTTAAACTATCCACTATTGATCTCACCCCATTTCTAAGAGGCCTGTAAGGGGTGTGCATAAGTGCACAATCATGCCTGCCGTCCTTGTTCTATTGTCCCCATTTTTTCGTACCTATTTCCTGTATTCTTACTCAAGTTTATACAGTACTTATACCTACTATCTTGTAAGCGATTGACAAATCAAATAAATAAAATAAATAGAGAGGGGCTCTCTGTGCAGTCAGCAGCTGCCTTATTGCATCCCCATCTGATTCCTTATAGCTCAAATTAGCAGGGCCATCCATCCATCCATCCATTTAAGCCTTAATCCTGTCCTGTTCCCTCGACTTTCATAGCCATTCTCGTCCGCATTTTTGAGTCTCTTTTTTTGCCCGCTCCTCAAACTTAAGAAACTCACCAGATCCTGCCCAGCCATTGACCCCCAGAGTGAAAAAAAAAATTTTTCCTTTGGGAAAAAGGGGGAGTGAGGGGGAAACAGTGTTAAAAGCAGGAAGTGACCTAAACCCATTTTTTTCAACCTTTCTTTCCTAGAAGACACCCTAGGAATAGACATCTCGGTCAATTTAACCCTTGGAGAGAATTTTCCCCCAGGTAAAGCAGCATCCCAGGGAAAAAACCTCAGAGAAGTCTTTCCTGAACCAGAGGCTCTCAAATTGAAGCTGGATGGCCAGCCCCATCATCCCCAGCGGGTAGGCCCAGATGAGCAATGGGAGCTGTAGTCCATGCAGCACCTCTGGAAGGTGGCCAAGTTGGTTAAAAGCAGACAGCTTCGGCTCTCAAGCAGAACAGTCGAGTTAAAACTTTGCACATAAATGCAGTTTATGACAAACAGCTCCAAACTACACCCGAGACTAGCCGCTGCGGTTTCTTCTAAAATCCTGGGACTGAGGAGAAACTTCGTCATGGTGAGGGACGGCTTGCCTTCAGAAGTTGTGGGTGCTTCATCTCAATCTCTTTAAGAAGATTGACAGTCACTTGTCTGAAATGGTGTAGGATCTCCTGCTGAAGCAGAGAGTTGGACTAGGCCAGGGGTCGCCAAGCTTTTGGACCTCAGGGACCACCAAACTCATCATTTTAAATCCCGCGAGCCAGAGACCCTGGGAAAATCCCCCAAAAAGTCTGCAGGAAAATTCTCCACCCCGTTTTTCTTACCGATCGATCATTCTTTATTTGGGATCGCAGGATACCGTCTCCAGCTCCATTCTCGGGGGGAGAAAGAGAGAGAGAAAGAAAGAGACTTTTGGCTTCATGCAAGGAAAGCAGCAGAAGCAGCAGAAGTCTTTCTTTCTCTCCCCCAAACTCCGCCACAAATGAGTCTTTGTGAGACTTGTCGCGCCGGTGCAGCCTCTTGGAGCAGGATGCCTTGCAGGGTCCCAAAGACTCATTCCTGGTGGAGTTTGGAGGAGAGAAAGAAAGACTTTTGCTGCTTTCCTTGCGTGCAGCCAAAAGCAGAAGAAGAAAGAAGCAGAAAGAAGCAGCCCGGTGGCCAGGCGAGGCGCCTGGGGTGAGTGGGGCAAGGTCACCCCCTCCGCCCTATTCCCCCTTCCCCTCACTACCTCGTGTTATTCGCAATGCAAGCGAAGCAAGCCTTGTGTTCCCACAGGCCATCTGGGCGGCACAGCATGGATTAATTACTTTGGGGGTGACATTTCTCTGTGGGGTCAAGTGATTGTTATTTGCAACCTTCCCAATCATCTGCCCACAAACAAAGTCAAGGAAGCCAGAATCACTTAACAACCAGGGCAAAAAAAAATGGTAAAATCTGGCACAACTCACAACTGCATCACTTAGTGAAAAAAATCCCAATCCCAATCGTGATTGTAAATCGAGGATTAGCTGTACTGTAATGTCATTTATCATCAAGACCATGGCAAGGTTTAAAAACCTTTCACCTCCTTTTTCTCATGATCTGCTAGCATCAAAGCTGCTTTTTGTGTGTTTAACTTACACACACCTACGTCCCTAAAGAGTTGTTTCTGTTTGGATCACGACACAAAACCTGTGTTGCCCCATAATCAACCCAGCTGAATGGTAAGTTGATCTTTTGACTTGAAAACACATGTATTGTATATGTGTGTACACACAAGCAAAGGAAATAAAAAAAGATGAGAGCAAAGCTAAGTTTTGACATGGTTTTTCTGCAATTATAAAAACAATAAACCATTGAGAAGATATATGATTGTTTTTATTTGCTCAATTCATTCTTTTTAAACCTATTTTTCCTTAACAGCTAGTGATTTATTTAATTTATTTCCAAAATAAAAGTGTTAATGTGACAGCAAAGAAAAACTCACATACTACATCTAAATATTGCCTGGATAAATCCTTCTGAGTGGAATCTTGACTTATTTCAAAAACCATCTAACATCCAAAATTAAGTCCGTCCCCTTTAAGGTTTAGCGATATTAAAGTTGACCAAAAACCTTTTAGGAGGGCAAATCCATGATGGTTTTTCAGTTGATGTTCAGAGAACCTTTTCTATAGGCAGTAAAACAATAAAAACATAGATAAAAAGGTAGAATTCACAGTACTGTAGAGCAGTGGCCCCCACCTTTTTTGAACCAGGGACCGGTTTCACGATTATTTATTCTTCTACGGACCGGTACCTGAGTAACGCGAGACTCCACTGCCATCAGGATGGCTCTTCGTTCGAAGCCCCCCCCCTTCGACGAAACTAAGGCGCGAGCACCCAAACGTCGCTTTCCAACCAAAAACCCAGAAGCAACTGAAAACCCGGAAGCGCCGTCGAAACAAGATGGCGGTGCCCAAGCTTTGCGGCCCGGTAAAAAATGATCCACGGACCGGTAACGGTCCGGGGACCGGTGGTTGAGGACCCCTGCTGTAGAGAATTTATCTGTATTTACTTCCTTTGTTCATGTTTATACTCATACCTATACTTGTTATTTTGTACAAGTTTGACAAACAAATAATAAATAAATAAAACTAACAAATGAAAAAAAAAGAAAGAATTACATTTATTAAAGTCACCAAAAAGGCATTAATGAGTAGGTAGCTTTTGACATTCTCCAAAAAATTTAAGTGGAAATTATTCTGTCGGCTGTTCCTCTTCTCCCTCAAAGCCAGTCTCCAACAGGGACATGACACAGTATTTCACATAGCCACATAAATTTTGGGCTCAATTGTGGTCGTAAGTGGAGGACTATCTGTCAACATGGATCCCAATATTCATCCCAGGAGATTGAGCTCCAAAACCTTTGGACCACCACTCCGCCTCCCCCCCAAAAGACCCCGTCTCTTAGACCTGCAAATCCAACTGAATCTCTCAATGCATGTAGTCCTTGTCTTACAACCATTTCTTTTCTGACCGTTTGGAATCGCAACGGCACGGACATACGGCCACTCCTCCCACTTATGACCGTCGCAGCATTCTTACGGCGACGTGATCAAAACTGGGCGCTTGGCAAAGGTTTATGTGTTTATGACCATTTTGCAATATCCTGAGGTCCCTTCGCTGCCAGCTTCCGACAATTCAGTTCAAACCTTTTATTGTTAATGCACAACGTGTGTACCATGAGGTTGGATAAGCCTCCCTTAGTGCAGCCCACCAAAAATACAGAATATATCTCAATGACTCGTAAGTGAATGAAAGAATATCCTATGCCAGTGGCTCATACTAAGAAACACACGATCCTATCTATCTTCTATCTATATACTGTATATAAAAGTGAAATACCACTCACGCATCATCACAAAATCTCCAGAACCGTAAAGCCTACAGACTTGAAATTTGGCACTTTTGTTCCTCTTGGCTTCTAGGTGCTCATTTTCCAAATGACCAGCAGAGCATTAGTATTTCCTATATGATTATTAACACGCTCTGATGCTAAGGAGTTCTACTCCCAGTCCCCCACCTGAAAAGAAATCTGTTCCAAGTGCAAAACACAAGCAGAGGAGTTTCAGTTTCTGTTTTAATTTCACATTAGCAACCAGCTTTAGTACAGAACAGTTGAGCTAAGCCATGACCAGGCTCCTTGCTGTCTCCTTCTTGCTCACACAGCAAATACTGTTTCAGTTTCCAAACAGCCCTCATCTCTCTCACACACTGACAGGACGCTAGCCAGATGAATACCAATGGATGCTGGTAGGCAGACGCAGAATTCCCCCCCCACCCTTATTTTCCTCCCCCAAAACTAAGCCTGATCACAGTTTCATAGCGAAGCACGGGTATCGAGGTAGTATACACATATGTGCTTAACATTACATATAGCAGCCTCTGTGGTGCAGTGGTTAGAGTGCAGTACTGCAAGCTACTTCTGCAGCCAGCTGCCTACAATTTGGCAGTTCAAATCCCACCAGGCTCAAGGTTGACTCAGCCTTCTGGGCTGTAAAGCGTTGTATAAGTCTAAGTGCTATTGCTATTACATTATATTATTGCACCAGTGTAGACAAACTGCACGTTCTCCTGGCCCTGCAAGTCTATTGTACTAAATAGTTGTGGTGTTATGTTGCAGAGATAAGTCAACGGAGGGTGCAGGATTTGCTTTACGACTGCACGATTCACTTTAATAACAGGAGTGATTCGCTTATCAGGAGTGATTCATTTGTATGGTTTGGGTTGCTGGTTACTTTTTATCATTCTACCATCGAGAGCATTTTGGCATACTGTGTAACGGTGTTGTATGCTGGATGCTCTGTTGTGGAGAAGAAGATGCTCCAGAGAGTTATAAACACAGCACAAAAATAAATAAATAAAAATCATCGGTTGCTCTCTTTCTTCTTTGGAAGAGATTGCGAAGACCAGACTCCTCTCTAGAGCACTAAAAATCTCCACAGACCGTTCTCATCCTGGACATTCCTATTTTGAACTGTTAACATCAGGGAGGCGTTATAGGTGTCTTAAAATGAGGACTAGTAGATTGAGAAACAGTTTCTTTTCCAAGGCAATAATTGTCTTGAATCAAACAATGCATATGTGATTTAATCCTATTATTATTATTGTTGTTGCTGCTGCTGCTGTTGCTATTGTTGTTGTTATTATTATTATTTTAATTTTTAAATACTCTGTAGTGTGATTGTGATGTGGTGTTTGGGGCACTGTGCTGGAGTAGCTTTCAAATTTCATTGTATTCGTGGCATGCAATGACAATAAAGATATTCCATTAACAACCGCAGCAAAAACAAAACAAAACGGGGGGCGGGGTGTGTGTGTCATAAAATCGGGCGCAACTCACCACCACAGCCACCCCGCTTGGCAATCTGATCCCCATTCTGGATATAAATCGAGGACTGCCTGCATCTCTTAGTCTAATCCACCAGTAGCCCTGGCCGTGATGGAAGAGGGAAGCCTTGGAGCTTGAGAACACTGCAATCCACGCGTGCAATCTTCAATGAGGAGCCGGCGGGCACCTTGTGGCATCCAGAGGAGTGAAGGGGGAAAGTGGGAGAACCCCTTGCAGGGGGATCCTTTCCTGCAATCGCTTCCTCGGATTTGGAGATCCCCGCAAGCGATCTTAGAAGAGGGTTGGGGGTGGCGGAATCCCACCATTAGAACCACTGGCCCATTCGCAACATCTGGGCTCTTTCCATCCCACCCCCCCAAGCTCGGGCTTTCTTCTTTCCCCCACCCCCTGCTTTTACCTCTTTTCTCCTTTTGCAGCCCCTTTCCCTAACCGAAGGGATCTTCGGAGGGGATCCCTGCCGTCCGGACCGAAGCGGGAGCGACGGAAAGCGGCGAGAAAGAAGGCGAGCCTTCGATCCCTTCTTTCCCCAGCCCGGCGCTCGAGGGGTTAAAGAGATAGACGTGCCAACTCCTAGAGAAGCAGGAAATGTCACCCGGTGGGGGAGAGGAATGCCAATAGCTCCGGGTAACTTCCGGCTCTTCTTTTTTTTTTTTTTTGGCAAAGTGGAGAGGTAGAGCGGGAATCTCCAACCTTGGCAGTAAAGACTCGTGGAATTCTGGGAGTTGAAGTCCATGAGTCTTAACGATGCCAAGGTTGGAGATCCCTGGGGTAGAGGATCTTCTCTGCGGTGGATCTATGGCAGGGGCCTTCAAACTCCACAACTTTAAGACTTGTGGACTTCAACTCCCAGAATTCCTCCTCCAGTCATGTCAGCTCAGGAATTCTGGGAGTTGAAGTCTTAAACTTGCCAAGTTTGAAGACCCTTGATCTATGGTGTTGAAAGGGGGTGTGTGTATATAAGGGAAGGGTCTTCTTCAAACTTGGCAAATTTAAGACTTGTGGACTTCAACTCCCAGAATTCCTGAACTAACATGACTGGAGGAGGAATTCTGGGAGTTAAAGTCCACAAGTCTTAAAGCTGTTTAAAGACCCGTGATATAAGTTGTGGGGGTGCTGGAAGGATGAACGGGGAAGCACCTTGAAGGGCCAGCATGTGGCCATCGGGCAGTGTACTGTTCGGAGAAATATCCATCTGGGTTCAGTTCCAAGCTGGGAGAAAGGCACTGGAAACACGGATGGAGGCTGATTGGGAAAATTGGTTTAATGATGGACAGAACCACTGTAGCAGAAATTCTTGGTTCCAAATCAGGACACAAGACCACGAAAGGTTGGAGAATACAGGATTTTATTTGTGCACAAGGTTCAGAGCATTAGCATGGCAAATTCTGAACCCCTGGCTCTTCCTGAGACATTACTTTTATACGTATCATGACCTCAGACTAGGCCGGGGTGTTCTTTTTCCATATCCACCCTCGTTTACAGTAACGTGGTTAGCTCCTTAGTTCAGCAATTCCGTTGTTTTACACAATATTATGTTAAGCAAAGCTTGGGGCTTGGGGACTTCTGCTAAATGTAAACATACTTTATTTGTAATTTTCTATACTGCTTCACCACCAGCAGTCCTGGGTCAGCGGACTAACTGGTTTTGTCAAGACATGGATTTTTATAAAGTTTTTTTTTCTCCAGCATTTTGTCATTTACAGGCTTGTTTTGTATATTTTGTTACTTGACTTTAATTAGTTTGTCTCAGGAAGAGCCAGCAATGAGTCTGAAAGTGCTGGCTTCCTTGGGTTTTTAATCTTGTTTAACAAATTACAAACTCAAGGTTAACCGCACCAAACTTGATTGCAGGAAATATGACTTGAGCAACAGAGTGGTCAATGTCTGGAATACTCTACCTGACTCTGTGGTTTCTTCCCCAAACTCCAAAAACTTTTAACCTTAGACTGTCTGCTATTGACCTCACCCCTTTCCTAAGAGGTCTGTAGGGGGTGTGCATAAGTGCACCGACGTGCCTACCGTCCCTGTCCTATTGTTTCTTTTATTTTTCTTATATGTACCCATTTCATGTATTCATAACTATGTATATACTTATACCTATTATCTTATAAGCAATTGACAAATCAAATAAATAAATACAATAAAAAATAAATGTAATTAATCCTAGATGCCCGGCTCTTTGGGGGTTTTAATCCCGGTCTTGAATGGATTACCGAATCTGCATTTGTAAAATCTGCCTCCTCAGTTTCTAAGAGACTTGGGGGCTGCTTCCTGCCTCTAAAAAAACATGTTTTTCCATTTCTCATTTAGGGAAATATGATATTCTGCCTTGTTGGAAGAAATGTCCCTCTGGATTCAGTTCCAAGCTGAGAGAAAGACACTGGAAACATGGAGGCTGATTGGAAAGATGGTTTAACTTTAATGATGAAGAGAATCGCATGTTCGTAGTTCTGGTGCAGCTGACCACCTGGAGTTGAGAGTTATTTATACCAGAGTTCTCCAACCTTAGCAACTTTAAGACTCCCAGAATTCCTCAGAAAGCTGGCTGAGGTATTGTAGGAGTTGAAGTCCACAAGTCTTAAAGTTGCCAAGGTTGGAGACCCCTGATTTATACCTTCTCTTGGTATATTTATACCTTCTCTTGGTATATTTATACCTTCTCTTGGCACTTGAATTTCCTGTTCAAGAATATGTGTTTTATTGGCTGTTGACAGACTCCCATGGGGGCCATGTACAAATCCTAGGAGTTTGTCTGAGCTACGTTTGGTTGAAGGTTGCAAAAGGTGATCAGGACACTGCAACCATCGTAAATATGAACCAGTTGCAAAGGGTCTGAATTCGATCACCTGACCATGGAGATGGAGCAGTGGTTGTGAAAAAACAGTCATTAGATGCAGCGGTGGGATTCAAATAATTTAACAACCGGTTCTCTGCCCTAGAGATTTCTTCCAACAACCAGTTCACCAATCTGCTCAGAAAGTTAACAACTGGTTTGTCCGGATTCCGGCAGTTACCCCCATTTAAATCATGAGTCTCAAGCCTAACTTCCAAAGGAATTATTGGGAGTTAACATGTCCGGCACTGCCTGGGTGTAGCCAACTCTGAGACACATAATTCATTGTCACCCTTGACCCTGGTTTTCCCCCCACCTCCTGGGTGTATCATAAATCATTCTCCAATGGGACACATCCATAACCCAGAGTCATCAACCATGCTATCCAGTTAGAATTTTGCGGGGCAGAAATTTCGGTCACCTAGTTACTATCTTTGAAAACATTTACGGAATGCAGTTTCGGTTTACAAGCTGCTGCACTGCTCCCCCCTCCCTTTCTGTTGGCAACTCTAAAAAGACCATAGAAATATTTTCTGAGTTGACAACGGTTCTCCCAAACTGGTGCGAACTGGCTGAATCCCACCACTGATTAGATGCCTCTTTCAGTGCCGTTGTAACTTTGAACCGTCACTAAGTGAACTGTTGTTAAGTCGAGGACTACCGACGGTCACTGCGTGGCTTCATTTGCTGGGGACAGAAATGTTATCCAGGTAGGCCTCGACTTACGATCACAATTGAGTCCGATATTTCTGTTGCTAAGTGAGGCATTTTGGGAAGTGAGCTTTGCCTCATTTTACGACTTTTTTTTCTTTTGCCACAGCTGTTCAGTGAATCGCAGAAGTTCTTAAGTGAATAACATGGCTGTTAAGTGAATCTGGCTTCCCACGTTACTTGTCAGAAGGTCACAAAAGGGTGAGCCCCATAAACCCTGGGACACCGCAACCATCATATGAACCAGTTACTAAGCAACTGCATTTTCATCACATGACCATGGGTTGTGTAAAAAATAATCACGTCTTTCAGTGCCGTTGTAACTTTGAACAGCCACTAAGCGAACTAAGTGAGTAAGTTGAGGACTGCCTGTGGTTGGTTATCAATAGTATTATCAATAGATGATTCCTCACCCCGTTAATGGATGAACTCACCTATTGGCCTCGTGTAGGAGCAAAGCGAACAAGATCCCTGCGACACCCACTGTTGTGGTTCACCCACAGCAGGTGCAGACGACTGAGGCCTCGGTTAGAAGGGAGTGTGTGTGTGTGTGTGTGTGTATGTGTGCATGGTTGTCAAAACTCCCAAAACAGGTCACATAGCTCTGGAGAGGTCAGTCATAAATTAGAACACTTGCTAAGTAACTGGCCATTAAGCGAGGACCACTTGTATTTGATTTGCCAGTCACATGGCCACCTGGTCATGCCTACCTGGTCACGCCCACCCAGTCACATGACCACCAAGCCACGCCCACCCAGTCACGTGACCATCAAAGCCAGGCCCACAAATTAGGCCACGCCCAAAGAACCGGTTGTTAAGAAATTTGAATCCCACCCTTCCCAGAATTCTCCAGCCAGGTATGCTGTCCACAAGTCTTAAAAGTTTTAAAGTTTGGAGACCTCTGTTCTAAGGTTACATTAATCCTGAATCCTGCAAGGCTGAAAGCGTTGAGGGACTGTCTCATCCCACTGGGATTGTGTTGTGGTTCGCCAGCAGCAGGTGCGGACGGCTGAGGTCTCGGAGAGCGAGGACTCGGAGAAGGGGCCTGCGTGTGATGCAGGGATGGGGCCAGGACCGTCAGGGAGTGTGCTGCCTTCGGAGATTGTGGAGGCTGGCAGCAGTGAGGAAGAGGTCCCCGAGGAGCCTGTGCCCGGTGAGCGCCTCCAGGGCTGCTTGAAGGAAAGAGCAACTGCAGCAGCACAGGCGACTCAGGAGTAAGGCTGCAAGGTAATGGCCCCTCCCTAAAGAGATAAAAGCCAGCTGAGAAACCGGAGTTCTTTGCAGGAAGCAAAGAAGTTTTTGCACTCAAGCCTGGTAGACGCCCTGAATATCTTGGTTCGCGTTTAGAGACTCTTGGTGTTTGAAATATCTCTTAGCAACTTTATCTAGTGTTCTTGGCAGCCTTGCACAACCCTGGAAAAAGGCTCCTTCTTATCAGAGACAATTAGTTTTTAACGGTGAAGGAGTGGAGTTCGTAAAGAATCATTAAAAGGTTTTTCTGTTTACCTCCGTTTCGTGTTTGTTTCCTTGGAACAAGGTTTGGGCCAGAACACCCACACAAGTCGGGGCTGGGAGTGAAATCTCTCCTTGTCAATCATAACTGACAGAGATCAATCCTGGATAAAGGGTTTGAATCAGCACAACATCCTACCTCACCCCCCTCACACACACACACCCCAGTCCTCTCAGATCACCCAAAATGATGGTGATGGTATTGGAAACCAGTGAGAGGTCACAGAGGGCAGTGTTTCTCAACCTTAGCCACTCTTCGGTGAGTGGACTTCAATTCCCAGAATTCTCCAGCCAGCACAGAATTCTGGGAGTTGAAGTCCGCTCATCTTAAAGAAATTAAGTTTGAGAAACGCTGAAATACTGTTGCAGCAGGTCCTGCTTCCAATTCAGGACACAAGACCACGAAGGGTGGTAGAGCACAGGTTTATTTGCGCAAAGGTTCAGAGCATTAACATGACAAATTCTGAACCCCTGGCTACTCCCGAGGTGTGACTTTTATTCAGCACACAGCCCTAGCTTCGCCCAGGGTGTTTCTCTTATCTAGCTATACCATAACGTATGTACCAGAGAAAAGGAGTAGTAGTTCTAATTAGTCCTCTTGCACAATTCACCATATACGTTATTATCTTACACCATCTCGTTATTTTCCATAGCTACCCTTGCCATATAGTTTGTTACAGAAAATATCTAGTTCACAGGTTAGGATGTTTACATTCTTATTCATCACATTTTCTGTATTGTCCCAACGTTTGCAACATAAAGATTAAGCAACCTCTGCTAACTGTCATATTTGCAATATAAGCTAAACAACTTCTGCTAATCATAGTAATACTTTTCTGGTATTTTTCCATACTGCTTCAATAGGACAAGGATGGATGTGTAACCCACTTCCCACCCATGGCAAAGATTACCCAAAAGCAGGAACAATGCCATTTCCAGATCGCAATCCAGACTGTAAAGCAAACTTGGCAAGTTTAAGACTTGTGGACTTCCAACTCCCAGAATTCCTTGAGCTAACATGACTGGAGGAGGAATTCTGGGAGTTGAAGTCCACAAGTTTTAAAGCTGTCAAGTTTGAAGGCCCCTGCTGTAAAGGATCCAGATAATCTGTCTTGTCTAAGGCCCTCTGAAGGTGTCACCCAACCATCATCTCTAACACCTTTGGTTCGATACTGGATGAAAATTCTGCAGTGTCTGAGGACGCAACAATGCCTTTCTTGAGGAGGGGGCAGAAAGGCCTCCTTAAGAGGCACAGGAAAACCCCCCCCCCAATTCAAACAAGAATTCCCCATCACCAGAACCCACCCACTCAATTCAAAGCCAAAAGTGTCACAGTTCTAAAGAGAAGGCCCTTTATTATATCTTTCTGCCATTGCTTAAATAGTTGATGTTTTTATTTTTTCATCCTCACCCCAACAATTCTCTCATCCCCCTTTACCTTGATTCAATAAGCTCATGAGTGCTGGATGGGAGACCACCAGGAGCTCTAGGATGGGCCAGGAAGTAAATATATATCCAAGAGGACCTCTCCATTTAGTTGTCCCGAAATCACAAGACAGTCTTCCACGAACTCCTTTACCTAAGGTGATTAAACCAGATTTCCTTCATCTCTTCCTGGCAAGGCTCTCTTGAGGGTACACCCATGTGTGAATGTGAGAGTACAAATGAAGGCAGGTAGAAGTTGCCTTCTAGAAGACATGCACAGTTATCAATCTAAAATAATTACTTGCTCTGTGTGAATTTTCATGTGACTTCTAAGGGCTGATTCACGACGGAAAAATGTTCCACACTCGATGCACCGATGGGGCTTCTCCGCCGAGTGAATTCTCTGATGTTCCGCCCTCTGAGCAAGACATTTCTCACACTCCCCACATTTACAGGGCTTCTCCCCCGTGTGGATGCTCTGATGTACACCAACTTCTGAATTTTGATAAAAACTTTTCCCGTAGTCCCCACATTTATAGGGCTTCTCTCCTCCGTGCCCCTTCTGGTGTCCCTGAAGTTCAGCAGAATCCACAAATCGTTTTGCACATACCGGGCATTCATAGGGACTGTCCCCAATGTGAACTTTCTGATGTCGCAACAAATGCGATTTCTGGGAAAAACATTTCCCACATTCCGGGCACTTTTCCTGACTTTTATGCGCTTTCTTATGCCTCCGAAGAGATGAACGCCAACTGAAACTTTTCCCACACTCGGGGCATTGATAAGAACCTCTTCCTGTGTGAATCTTCTCGTGTACCCGAAGGTCTGAACTGCGGGTAAAGCCTTTCCCACATTCCCCGCACCTGTAAGGCTTCTCCCCTGTGTGAAATTTCTCGTGATTCCTGAGATATTCTTTGTGAATAAAAGATTTCCCACATTCCTGACACCGATAAGGTTTTTCTCCGGTATGAATTTGCTGATGCCTCAAAAGATTTGCTTTTCTGCTAAAACATTTCCCGCACTCGGAGCACTTATGGGGCGTCACTCCGAGATGCATTATGTTGTAGTGATTTCTAAGGGATGACGAATAAGCGAATGTTCTTCCGCAGTCTAAACATTTGTAATCTTTTTCTACTTTGTGAACTTTCCCGTGACGCGTGAGGCCTCCTTTGGTGTGAAAAAACATTCCACACTCGATGCACTGAAAGGGCTTCTCCCCGGAGTGAATCATCTGGTGTTGACACAGGCTTGCCTTTACAAGGAAGCACTTCCCACACTCTGTGCACTTGTAGGGTTTCTCCCCTGTGTGGGCATCCTGGTGTGAACGAAGATAGGACTTGCAAGAAAAGCTTTTCCCACACTCCTCACATTTATAGTGTTTCTTTTCTCCGTGCCATTCCTGGTGCCTGCAAAGGTCCGAAAAATACACAAATGGTTTCTCACATTCGGAGCACTGATAGGGTCTGTCACCAAAGTGGATTCTCTGATGTCGTATCAGGGAGGCCTTGGTGGAAAAACATTTCCCACATTCTGGACACTCTTCATTTTTCTCCAGTCGGTTTTTTTTCTTGTGACTCCGAAGAGAGGATCGCGGGGCAATTTCACCTC